CCGCGTGTTTCCCCCCCACGCGTTTTCTGGGGCAGGGGGAGCGAGCGTTGGGCTGCTGGCCTTGACCGGGGTGGAGGTGGATGCGTGGGTGCAGGGGCAGCGGTGGGGGAGCGCCCGAAAGAAGAACAGTGCAGTTAGTGGGGTGCGAAAACTTGGGGAGATGGCATAGGAGTCGTTAGTGACCAGAATCCTTTGGTCGTTTGTTTCTGCGGTGCACGGAACGCTTCTTAGAATGAATTTAAACAGACCAATTGAAAGCCGGGTTTGAATAGCATCAGGAGACCAGTCAGGAGGTGGGTTTCATAAAAGGAGTAAAGCCTGATTTGACAGACTTTAATCGAACATAGCTGGCAGCGAGTGTGGGAATATATGGCATAAGAGGTACTGTGGTGGCTATAACCAGCCAGGCTCGAGCAGTCTGCTCGTCTGATGGAGAAAAAGGCGGTCCCGAGGGCTGGTTGTGGTAAGGTTCACTTCAAGTTTACGCTGTTCGATAGAAGCATATTTCTACACCCACAACAAAATACCGAAAGTTTACTCCAAGGCATTTGCTGTTCATATAACCGTATAAATGACCAGGGGTGTGTTAGCCTATGTACAAGATTTGGCATTTTTCTGGCATATTTAGGGCACCTAAGAAACACTGGTGGCCTAAAGCAACCCCCAGTGAAGCAGGCAGCATTTCTTTGTCCCAGTTGAGGCTAACATGTGTTTTGAGGGAAGAGATGGGATTTGTCTTGCTTAAGTTCATCGAAAGGTCCCTGGAATGGGAAGCATTTCTTCCCAACTCCTTGAAAACTGCTGGTGAGCTGTAAATATTTTCAGGAGGTGACCTTGATAATTCTTCAGGGCTACATATTTTGGTTTCTCAGTACTATGCTGATATTACCTAATTGCTTACTTTGCCTTAGTTAAATGAATCTTCCGTAGTCATCAAGGAGGACAGCTTTATAAGGGACTGATCCAAACACAGACCTGATGCTGCCTTGGCTTTTGGTGTTAATGTTGTGATATAGCCCTGCTTCGCTCCATTTTCAGCATGAGTGCACTTACGTATCTAGCAAGATGCCTTTACCACCTTCTGTAGCAAGGGAAATAAAATATATCAGAACAACCTAGTGGGAAACAGTTCTGGAAGAACTGTCAATATGTGGAGTTGCACTGCTGTGAGTGTGCCAGCATCAGACTGTGATTTTTATATCGGGGGGGGGAAAAGATTTGATGTCCAGATATGCACAGGAACTCCTTAAACCTTATGAGTTTGGGCCAGGTGTGTTCTGGGGCATTTCTTCGAGATCGTAGCTTGGCTACTTGTTTGTTACATATTGCTGGAAATCAGGCTGCTGAGTCCAGGCCGGCAGCTGTAGCCACATTCCCTTCATCTGCTGCGCTCCTGTTCGTTGTTGGCTGCGGACATGGTGCCAGTACCGATACAGAGTACCCCAGGAGGATCTCTTTCTTTGGGTCAATGATGGCAGAGGCAGCTCCTCCTACAGGTAAAGTTAGGATAAGCCATCACTTGTTCTGCGGGAGGCCGGCAGGAACTTGGGAGCTGCCGTGCAGCTAGTGCATGTAGTTGAGAAGCCTGTCGCAGATTGGAAATGGCAAAAAGAGGCACGTTTTCTGGAGGATCCTGTCCTGATGGCCAGTATTTGGCAGAGTATTTGAAACTGCAGCCTCTGCAACTTCTTGGAAGACAGCCTTTGAGGGGAACGGCACAGGAGGTGGGTATGACTGTGGGTATCTTATCCCCACCTGGGTCCGCTGGGCACCTTTTTTCCCTGTTAAGAGGACACTAAGTCCAGCTTTTGGGAAAGGACAGGCTGCGTTAGAACCCATGACACTGTATGAGAAATCTGGTCTTGTGGCTGAATCTTCAGCCCTCTCTACAACTGCTAGCTCTGAGCAAATGCATCCATGATATAGGTTGCCTGCTGGAACCTAGGCAGCTCCGATGTGTTTTTCCCACGTTGAAGAATGGAATTTAGTATTGGGTCTGCACTGGCAGACCCCTTCATTGACAGGTGATGGACATGGAGACAACTTGGAAGTTGTGTCCCTAGCTGTGAGCTCAACGCGGTGTTGGCCTCAGTGAGCTCCTCTTGACTCGGTCGTGGGCTTGGTCAGTACTGTGAAGCTTTGGCAGCGTGCTTATGTCAAACTGCCGTCAGATCTTGTTCTGATCAAAACTGATCTGTGCAAAAGAGTTCCTCCTCTTAGTGTGTTTTTTCTTCAAATTTGCTGGCGTAGCCAGTATAATTGCTTTGTAATCCAGTTGTGCCAGAATGAAGAGTGTTGCTTTAAGTACTTCTAATGGAGAACTGTTTTTTGCTTTTAACCCTTGGCAGAGGATGGGGGTGACCCAGTGAAGAACTGCACATCGACCTGTGGCCTCTTTTAAGAATAAGGAAAATCAAACATCTTCATCTTCCGACCTAGCAGTAAAGGGGGGTGGGGAATAGATGTAAATAAAAATATTTAGGAATCCAGTTTATTATTATTGGGTAACTGATCTGACCTGCACTTATCAGGGAGACTGTGCTTCTGGCAATCTATTCAAAGTGTGGACTTAAGCTTAACCTTAAATGTATGTATAAATGGGGAATAGCGGAGAGTGTTTGTTGGGAGTTGGAAGGAACATAGGTTCCTTGTTGTGTTACGTGAGATACCCAAGTTAGTCACTAGCAGTGTTTGTCAATGGGGATACCTGCAATCTAATATTTGTTAGCAAAATAAAGGAGTCTGATTGCCTCTCACACGGGAACGTTTTGTCATACTGTCTGAGCAGTCTCAGACATTAGGTGTTGATCTCATAACGGAGTTTACTCCAGGTATGTCCCCCCGGTGCTGTCTTAAGCAAAGATCTTCTATGTGCCAAACAATTTGTCCAAACCTGGGAATTTTTTCTAGCTTGTTTGCGTGTGCAGGCTGCATACTGAGTTAGCACAGCAAGGCAGCTCTTAATAGAATCTCTCTATGCAGTAAATAATTCAGTCACTTCTTGCTGCTCAGGTTTCGTTTTGCAAGGTGATTCTTTGTCCAGTGAAGCTAATTCAAGTTAATACAGTGTTAGATTATAAACTCCTTAGAGATGATTTGCCTAGTGTTTTGCAAAGGATTGAGCACATTGTAGATGCTCATATGGGTTTTGCGTTGTCTGTCTTCTCATAACAGAGTGTCTGACTTCAGAAGCGATGTGTGCTCTCGCTTATTCCATTCAGCTGCTGCTTGAATTCAGGCAAGGTATATATAGTTCCAAAGTCATTGCATCTGTATTTGAGAGTCTTTCCAAATGCAGTACTTGTTTTTTTGTTTTTAAAGTCCTGCCCAATTACTAGAAAATTAGCACCGTACCTATATGTTCTTGCCTCAAATGACCTTTTTTTTTTCGGTCTTCTTTTTGCGTCCAGCAGGTTGGGAACTTCTGATTTTTTTGCACCTGTTTCTATGGCAACAGATTACAGGTTCTCAAAAGGAAGGATTATTGCTTTTATCCTAAATAATCCAGGATTTAGCAGTTTCTTTTGCATACATTGTGAGAATGAAGGGCTGGTACTTAACCCTGGTAGCACTTCTTCAGCCTCGAGGGTGAGAAATGGAATCCTTTTTGGAAAAGATGGAAATGTCTTGAGTATACTAAGGATTTGGTCTCTGATATTAGCAAATTCTCAGATGGGATTTGGCATTGGTTCTGTTTTTGCTTTGTAGCATGCATGCTTTACTTATTTTTTTGGCCTGTGCTTTCCACTTCTGTGTTACCCTTGAAATTAGTGCTTCTACCTACTCTATCATGTCGTGGAAGTTAGAGAGTGGTGGTAGGTTGAGGCTGAAGTGTGGCATGTCTTATTTTTGTGGGTGCCAGAGGATGATGCTGGAGCAGCGTGAACGTGGGATTGCAGCGCTTCCTACGGTGCCTGGGACCCCTGCAGTAACCTGCATCAGAGGGTGGAGTTTAGGTTGTGCTGGCAATCCAAAGTCCATGCTCAAGGCACAATAGGATCTGTATTTTGGTGGTTTACATGCTGAAACCTATGTGTTATGTTTTCATAACTTTTACACCTATGATAGTGAGCTGAAACTAGAACTAACAGGTGTTGCTGTCCGTCCTTCATATGGCTGGTTTGAACGTGTGGTTTGCTTGGCTTTTGGTCAGTGGTAGCTCATGGATAACTTGGACTAGGGACCTAGATTTCTGCCTGCTTTAAACTTTTTTTTTTTTTTTTTTTTTTTCCTGTCACTTTCAATGGTGGTATTTTTAACTCAGATCACTTACTGCTTTGAGCCCCCTTGGCAATGAACAAAGCTGAGCAGTGAATATTCATTTTAAGAGGGGTGTGGGCGTATGCATCTATTTTGAGATGAGAATCTGTCACCCTAGTAGCTCCAGCCCTTTTCTTTCAGCATCTGGCAGGGAATCCTCTGTGCACTTCGGCTTGTCATGCTTCTTTATGGTGCTTTGTTTGGAGCTTATCTTTGTCATGAGTACTTAAACACGAGGCCCAAGCATCACTTGAGGATTTGATACTTTATGAACCAAGTTTCAAGACATGAAATGGGAGTGGGGAAGAATCTTAGTTGTAGGCATGCAGCTACAAGGGCAATGGCTGAGAGAGAAACCAGCTCAACGAACGGGAGAGCCACCGGCCCATTTGGCTGTAGGGTGCCAGATGACATTTCTGCAGCATTCAGAAGATGTTTTGCTACAGAATGTTGTAGCAGCAGAGAACGTTTCCTAGAGGAGGAAGAAGAGAAGTTGCTCTCAGCTGGTGAGCACTTTGGCTGACATTACGTGCTTTCCAGGCCCTTGGTGAGCCTCCCTGCTTGGTTGCTTTCGCTGCTGCCTCCGAAGCTGTCCGGCGGGCGGCTCGCTGATGGCTCGGTGGAGTTAGGCAGCGAGCAGGGCCGGCAGCAGCTGGGTGCATCTGTCTGCGTAGCTGCCATAGCGAGTCCCTGCGGGGCTTTGCCTGCGGAGCGAGGGCGACTGGGACAGGTTCTGATAAACCCAGGCAGCTGGGCTGTGTTGCCTTGACCAGCCGGGAAGCTTCCTCTTGGGTGTTGCACCAAGCCTCGAGACAAATGCAGACCTTTAGCAGGCAGGCTCAAGGGCCAGGCCACTGAAGTTCTTTGCCCAAACATCTGTCACAACCTGTTGCAATTGGGCTGTGTCACAGCTGTTTCTCTTGTAGTGACTGTTGTTTTAACAGGATTGTTTTAAAAAGCAAGGGGATTGTGGATCCAGGTCATTAGTCTTTGTCCCTGCAGTTCCAGTGCATAAAAACTGGGGAAGACACGTTGATTCCTTAGCTGCTTATGTATCTACAGCTGTGAAGAAACAGCTATTTACAGTGCCTGAACCTTGGGATAATTTGATATGTGCTTGTCCTTGAAAAATTTTCTAACAAGCAGAGCAGACAAAACTGTACCTGTGAGCCCATTTCCTGAGTTTCTGAGCACCATCATACACAGTTCTTGTGGATCCTAACTTCCATTTCCTAGGATTCTGCGTATTAAGCAGCGACTTTACTGCACCCTTTGCATATATTAACACTGCTGATTATGGAGAGAACTCGCACCCCCAGATGCACCTCTGAAAAAACAGTGAAGTGGGTTATTCACAAGGTTGTTATTCTGGCATGCTCGTGGTACTAGCACAAAGAGATACGAGCATCAGGCATAATTTATTTCTACTTTAATAGTCCATCTTTTCATTGCTAAAATGACTGCTATGAGTCATATCATTAAACACACTGAATGGCAAGATTGATTGTTATTCCAGCCTCTCTCACATTTCCCTGTTTGAAAGCCATTGCTTTCCTCTACACCAGCTGAATTCAGTGTTTGTGCCTGACGCGTTTCCTCTCCTGACAGGAAGAAGCCCACACACGTGACGGTGAACTGCTGGTTCTGCAATCAGGACACGGTAGTGCCGTATGGGAATCGCAATTGCTGGGACTGCCCCAACTGTGAGCAGTACAACGGGTTCCAAGAGGTACTGTGACAGAGTGCTCAGAGAGGGGGGCTGGGAAGGCACGTGCCCTGTGGGACAGTGCTGGCGGGAAAAGCTTGCTCCTCATTTGAGATGACACAGGCCTAGTGCGGATGAATATCCAGCGGTTTGACAGCCGGCAGCTCTGTGCTGGGCGCCTGTGAACTCAGTAGCTGATCACTTTATCAAATATGAGAAAGAATCCATGCATACTGGGATGTGCTGACATAGAATGAGAAAGACAAATTTTCTTCTCTTGCTTCAGAGGGCAAAAAGGGCCTTCACATTTTCACCAATATCTCTTAAAAACCTTTTTTTAATATATGGAACATATCTTCACTGGTTTTGTATTTTGGAACCACTGAATTGCTTTATTTAGGGTATTAAATAACAAAGCCTGTCTTAAGCCAAAGTCCACCACCAGTAACTACTTGCAGCAGGTGTACAGAAAGAGCAGTGAATGGGGGAGATTTGAAGCATTTTGTCACTTTTTCATACTTGTTTCTTTTGTTACATAGGGGAATGCATGGATTGCAGAGCTTCTGACAGAGCTTAGGGAATGTTGTTGTCAGCCAGAGGATACCTAGCTTTAATTTTTATGATCTCATGTTTGCTTTCCTTCTTGCCTCCCTTTTTGCTTCTTGTCAGAATGGAGACTACAACAAACCCATCCCTGCTCAGTACATGGAACACCTTAACCATGTTGTGTCGGGTGCTACGACTTTCTGTGATCCTACCAAACCACAGCAGTGGGTGAGCAGCCAAATTCTGCTTTGCAAGAAATGCAACAGCTATCAAACCATGAAGATCAAACAGCTGGCTTCATTCGCACCAAGGGAGGAGGTGAGTATTCATTAGGGACTGGCATCACAGGAGAATGTTTGTTCAAGGCATTCCCATGCATACACGTGCTATTCCTGCTCTGTTTAATGCCATGCTGCAGCCTTGTAAGCAGCAGGGAGAGGAATTTTTCAGTGTGCTGTGGAACAGTGCTCCAGTAGCCTTCGGAAGCACTATGTGGCACTCTAGTGCAGAGAAGGTTACTGATTAGTGTTGCAAATTTATCTAATCCTACTTGAAAGCCAGACTGTAATGACCTGTTCTAGATGGACGCTGAAAGTTGAAGCTTGAGCCCAAAACCAGTCGTGCACATTGCTGAGATCAGCTTACAACTCCAGCATTTACCATTGACCCAGCTGAGCTCACAGGATCTGATCGGCACAACAGCCCACTAGTCACCCTGAAGCCTTGACAAATTTTGTTTTTCCCGAGGCCTTGGTTGACAGTTATAGCAGCAGGATTGCCTGCTGAGCAACTTCTTGGACTTCCCGTTACTTAATATGCAATAATTATACTTAATAAGGTAGGATAGTGGAGTTTCTCTTGCACAATTTTATGGCTCCCCAAAGTTTCATGCAGGGAATTTAGTGCTCCAGTCCTTAGCTTTCAACCATGGTCAAGCCTTGGGGTTATAAGACTGTGCTGTAGTGGGATGCATTTATCCTCTGGGTTGCCTAATCCAGTCTGCTTTGTGTAAATGTTGTGAGTTTAATCATGGCAACTCCCGGGGAACAGATTTAAATTTGATCATGCTTAATGAGAACATCTTCGACTGATTCCCTTTTCTCAGCTGCATTTCTAGTCCCTGCCTCTTGCCAGACCTATCCACTTGCTCAGCCGGCCTTTGGCCCCTTTTTAGGCATTGAGTGAGCTGCAGTGTCTGTGCCAGCTAAGAAACATGGTGCTGTGTTATCCAGCATGGTTAGATGTGTGTGTCAGCAACAGCCATGGCCTCTCTCAGCATTGCTGACCGGTCCAGTAAGGGGTGAGCCTGCTGCTACTAGTCTCTCCCATGTGATTTTTCTTGATTCCAGCAGAGGAAGCCTATGAAACTGCTGCAACAAGCCCTCAGGCAGCTACAATGCATCTGTGCTCTTCCCTCTCCCAAAGAAGCTGTGTGCTTTTAGCTGTATGTGTTTAGTACAAGGATCTTGGTAGAGGCTGGCAGTGGAGACGGAAGAGCCCTAGAAGCCTCTGCAATAAGTGATGTGTCTGCTGTAGTGAAGCTGAAAAATGTACCTTTGGCACTAACCACTGTCTGTTTTTACAAGTGTTATTAATGATTTACGGAGGTCATCTTGTCAGGGCTTTCAAACAGTGACAGCCTTTGAGACTGGGGGCTGAGTTTCGGAAGGAGTATCATAGAATCATAGAAAGTTTTGGGTTGGAAGGGACCCCTAGAGGTCATCTAGTCCAACCCCCCCGCAGCGAGCAGGGACACTGCTAACTAGATCAGGTTGCCCAGACCCCTGTCCAACCTGTTCTTGAATGTTTCCAGGGATGGGGCCTCCACTACCTCTCTGGGCAACCCATTCCAGTGTTTCACCACCCTCATTGTAAAGAATTTCTTCCTTATATCTACCCTGTTTTAGTTTAAAACCATTACCCCTCGTCCTGTCACTGTTGTCTCTACTAAACAGATTGTCCCCATCTTTCCTATAGGCTCCCTTTAAGTACTGAAAGGCTGCAATCAGGTCTCCCCGCAGCCTTCTCTTCTCCAGGCTGAACAAGCCCAACTCTCTCAGCCTGTCCTCATAGGAGAGGTGCTCCAGCCCTCGGATCATTTTTGTAGCCCTCCTTTGGACCCGCTCCAACAGTTCCATGTCCTTCTTGTGCTGAGGGCTCCAGAGCTGAACGCAGTACTCCAGGTGAGGTCTCACCAGAGCAGAGCAGAGGGGCAGAATCACCTCTCTCGACCTGCTGGCCACGCTTCTCCTGATACAGCCCAGGACACGGCTGGCCCTCTGGGCTGCCAGCGGTCTATCAGTACCCCCAAGACCCTCTCGGCAGAGCTGCTCTTGATCCTTTCATCCCCCAGCCTGTATTGGTACCGGGGATTACCCCGACCCAGGTGTAGGACCTTGCACTTGGCCGTGTTGAACCTCATGAGGTTCACACAGGCCCACCTCTCCAGCCTGTCCAGGTCCCTCTGGATGGCATCCCGTCCTTCTGGTGTCTCGACCGTACCACTCAGCTTGATGTCATCTGCAAACTTGCTGAGGGTACACTCGATGTCGCTGTCCATGTCATTGATAAATATATTGAACAGCACTGGTCCCAGTACGGACCCCTGAGGGACTCCACTCGTCACTGGTCTCCATCCAGACATTGAGCCGTTGACCACTACCCTTTGGCTGCGACCATCCAACCAATTCCTTATCCACCGAACGGTCCACCCATCAAATCCATGGCTCTCCAATTTAGGGAGAAGGATGTTGTGGGGGACCGTGTCAAAGGCTTTACAAGAGTATGTCTCTCCTTTTTCCAGCAGGGTGGTGTGAAGGGGCAACAGGTCTTTTGTGTCCCCTCATTTGAGAAGGGGAAGAGCAGGTCTGGTTTTTTGTCTCATCTTCTGTGTTGAGTTCATAAGGGCTTGACAAAGACAGCAAAATTGGGCCACAGCAGACTTCTCCAAGGGCTGTTTTGTCTCTTTGGGGCCATGGAGGCTGGGTCAGCTGTATGAGAAGTTGGTTGTATGGCTGGCCTCCAGCTTGGTCACTGTTCAGGCCTGGTTTCAGGGAGCTGTTGCTCTGGACACTGGAAGCATACCTTGCTCATGTGTCAGTAGCAAGCATGATAACTGGTGAGGGACCTGCAGTTCTCACCTACTTTTCCTCTCCTGTTCTTTCACCAGGGCAAATACGATGAGGAGATTGAGGTGTACAAGCACCATCTAGAGCAGACCTACAAGCTGTGCCGTCCATGCCAGGCTGCTGTGGAGTATTACATAAAACATCAGAATCGGCAGCTCCGGGCGCTGCTGCTCAGCCACCATTTCAAGCGCCGTGAGACAGACAAGACCTATACTCAGGTACATAGCGGGACAGATCAGGGATTTTAGGGGGAAGTGCAGTGAACTTGGTACCTCTGCACCTGGGTTTGCTGCTGGGAAAGGAAGGCAACGGCCTTGGGGCTCTGTAGCACTGGGAGCTCGGGTGCGTGGCGGAAGTTTAGAAGAGCACAGGATAGTCACCACAGGTGCTCCTGATGTTAGTTTGAGGTTTCCTCTTGCTAGTGTCATTCAGTGCCATTGCCACAAGGTAAGTCTAAGTAAAAATAAGAACAGAGTGGAAGGCAAGTAGTGAGAGAGACAGAAAAGGGGAAATAGAGAAGCCAATTTATGAGAACAGCACATGAAAATACGGAGTACAGGTAGAAAAAAAGAAGTAGGAACGATGGGAAGTGTTTTATGACCTTCTCTTTGCCCCAGTGCGCTGTCTGACCTTGGCTTCTGCTTGTAGCTCTGCTGTTGCTCTTTGCTAGTCTACAGCATCCCTTGTGGTGTCAGCCCAGTGCAGAGACTTATAAGGACTTACAAGGCAAAACTGTCCCGTAAACCATACAGCCTGGAAGAGTTTCATAAAGCACCATTTCAAAACCTTACTGCAGTTCATTCAGCTTCTGACACAGTGTTTATCCCTTCCTCTCCAGAATTTATGTTCATCCTCTTCTGCTTCCATAACCACACCAGCTCAGGTGATATTTCTGCGGTTCTTGGCCTTCCTCAGCTGTGCGTTCCTGGTTCTGATGGCCTTGTATGGGTCAGGCGACCCCTTCTCACTCAGCACAGCGGTCCCTGCTCCTGTCTCCTCTGGTCCAGCGTCCATTTGGAACAGGACTGGCACAAGCTCACATGCAGACTTAGAAAATGACACTTCCGTGATGGTGGCACGCTGGACGGAGCTGCTCCACCTGCTCCCAGAACAGATGGTGGAGAACCTGAGTGCCGCATGGGCTTACGGGAAGCATCACCAGATGGCAGTCGCTGTCCTCGGGCTGTTCACCTGCTTGTTGGCTGTGTTTTTAGCTGGACGGATCAGGTGGGTGTCCTCTTTTCTGCTGTTTTGCTTAAAGGAAAACTGCATTATGATGGAGTTCGTTTGCCCTGTCTTGACTCGGTGAGTCGGGGGTAAGCATCTGCCAGAATGGCACACGTAATACTGTTCGTAGCACAGTGCTTATTCTTTGGGTTGCCAGCCAGCTGGGTGGAGACAGCAGATCTTGCTTTGGATCTGTGCCTTGGTTCGTACAATTTAATCTTGAGTTACTGTGAATGAAAAGCTCCCTGTACAGCTCTGTAATCTTGTAGAAAATTGGACAGATCTATTCAGGTACTTGCCACAGCAGTGGGAAGGGCTGCAGATGATATAATCGTACCAAGAGATAGTACGTAACCTGCTCAGTCTGTGTACCCTCCCCACCTTCTCCCTCCCTTCCCTCTCCTTCCTCAGGACCATGGGGATTCATTGGTGTTTAAACTCTTAACCTTGTGTCTTGTTTGGTTTCTTTTTGGCATTGCAGGCTCCGGAGAATTGATGCTTTTGCTTCGGTGTTGTGGTTCATAGTGATGAGTCTACATTTAGCTGAGAAGTACCTGAAGACGGAAACACCCAACTGGCTAGACACGGCCAAATTTGGCACCACATCCTTGTGCTGCTTGGTGGGCTTCACCGCAGCAGTGGCCACGCGGAAGGCAACGGGCCATCGGAGATACCGGCCCCGAAGGTCAGAGCCAGAGCAGTGACGCTGGGGGAAGGAGGAAAAAAAGCCTTGTGAACTCTTTGCGACTGGTGCTTCTCTCTCCTCTTTTTCTTTCCCGTTCCTCTGTTTCTTTTTTCTTTTTTTTGAAGTAGATAAGCAGTGAAGATCTTTTCTTCCTTTATATATAATTTTTGATTTTTTAACCCATCCTTGCTTACCACTGTGCTAGCTACTTGGAGCATTTCCACTGCTGGTGCTAGCCATGGAAGCTACTCCTGCTGCCTCCATTTTCCCTTCCTCCTGAATCTTATGTCAGCAGTGCAAATATCCAGCTTCCCCAAAGCCAGTTCTTCCAGCAGCTGCTTCACAAACTGCTCCATAAATGCAGCCTCCTCCCCATTCTGCTCCTCCAGCCAAAGAGATTCTGGCTTCTCCTGTCCTTCTGGTTCTTCTCACTGCCCGTCCATCCTTAGCCAGTCACAGAGGAGTCCTCTGCCTTGATCCTCCGTGGGGCCCAGGCCACCTTCAGTTTTCTAATGGTGCTGGTCATTTTAATTTTGAACTGATGGGAACTTGCCTCTGGATTCCAAGTCCTCGTACCATGTGCTGTAGTAACACTGCATGGTGTACAGGCATGCGAGGAGGGGACCATGCGTAGTCCGTAACCTGGTTGTTCTTGCCTTGCACTGTGTAGCATCACTTAACTGCATGCTCTCTCGCTCTGCCATTCTCCTGTGACTCGTATTTTAAATGGAGAGGCGTCCTTAAGTGCTTTTAACTGGAACTTCAATAATTTATTTAAAAGGGTGCTTTAAAAGGCTGTGTAGCTCAGGGTGTCTTGATTCAATATCTGAAAGTATTCAGCTGCTTCAGGCTAAATTTTCAAATCTAGCAGTGGCTGTTGCTTTCAATGCCAGTTTTCATTGGGTTTTTTACCCACCTACCCCCACCACCCCCCGAGGAGCATCTGTGTAAAAGCACAACTGGATAAAAATGTGTATGCTCCTCCACTCCTGTAGCTTTAGAAAGAGAAGACATATGGGACTAACAACCTAATGCTGTGGTATATGGTCAGCTTTCATTGTACATAACTACTTAGTCGGTTAATGTTTTCCTTATGGCTGAGAGCACAGATTAGGAGGATGTGTTATAGGAAGGGGTGGGAGCCTCTGCTGTGGGACTACGTGGCAGTAGAGATGGATTTTTCGTGTTACTTGGAGGGGTTCTATTTTGAAGTCTGGCATTGGTGCTAATCCTGCTG